CTTTATACTCACTCGTTTACGTATTACTATCCAGATACGATAATGACAATGCCGTTCTCATTCATTTCTACCAGGGGGCCGCATATTTACAGGAGTAAGGGTGGTGGGGGGGTAAGCCGATTTAGAGGAGGTATCTACACATTGCTTAGTTATATATGATATAATAAAAGCTGTTGCATGATGACATCAATCGGAGACAAAGAAGTAATGGTAATACTATGCAATGGTGGTTGTTGTAGAAGTACCAGTACCTATATTTACGAACACGTTTGTTGTTTATTCAAAATTAAGCGTAAACCTACCATAACATAAACAATTTTACAGAAGTTCTAACCATTTACTTACACTTTTCTGTTCAAGTTTTCTTCTATTTCAGGACCATCCGAAGCAGTAAGCTTACAGTTTTTATAACTAAGTATTTTTTCTCCTTGTCAGAGTTTACCCAAAAAGTTTAAGATACTTCCTTGTGATTGATATTCAACCACTCAGCCTGTTCCATCCTCCTCTGACATCGTAAACCGTCAGAAAGAACGGTCATCAATTTTCAGCACAACACTTGAAAGTCGCTTCCCGCTCAGAGGATTACACTAACATCCTCATCGTGATTGACATATTCCGATAATCTGGCGGAGAAACCCTGCAATCGCACTTTTTTTTTTTGTTTTTGTTGGATTTCTTGGCTATCAACCAGCGCAATGTGGCCAAGGTTTTAAGACATGGATCCTAGTTATTCTATCAATCTGATATAAGTCATAAAGTTTTGTCTCCCTTAGAAAATCAATTACTTTAGTTATTATTTTTTCATCATCTGTAGTAATTTGATAGGGTAAATTGTGTATTTTTTATTCTGAATAATTTTGGAGTGGTGTTCTTTGTTTGAATATTTTTGGCATTCTGTTTATTAAATGGTTATGGTAAGGCTTGTGTTGCAAGTCAGGGCATTGTGAGGGAAGTTCTTCTCATATAGGGAGGAGGTGTGTAAGTCTTGTTGGTTGACCTAAGGCGGGCCACACCAACTCCTCCCTTCGTTCTCTTCTGTACGATGTAAACCATCGGTTCTATGGTGGTTTTAATTTATTATAATTTTGTAGGCTGGTCCACCATCACTTTGCCACAAGGGAGATGTATTTTTTGCTTTTATAAGAGACCAAAACACCGAGTCTGTATGAACTATGGTAATGTCCCAAATCGCGTCAGTTGACCCTGCTACTTTTGTCACCTGTTCTTGCCTATGGATGCCAGAGTGGCCTGGCACCCATATTAGCTTGATTTGATTTGTTTGGCATCATGTACTTACGAATGATATTCCCCAGTCAATTCATTTTTAGTGTTTCTAAGGATTTAATATCTTTAATTGAACTTGAATGAATCCTGAAAAAATACCTATGCTATCGTGGGCGTCGATAAAGCAAAATCATAGCTTTATCAATGGCAAAAAGTTTCAGCAATAAAAATCGATGTATGATTCGGCAGTCGAAACTTTCAATTGGCATTTCATTCGACCATACACCCGCACCCACACCCTCATTTGTCTTGGAGCCGTCGGTAATTATATTAAAAAAATATAAGATGTTAATAGGATCTCTCTAAACCGCTGGCGTACCTCCACCTCCGGCGCCATGGCCTTAGTTGATGGAAGCCAGCTTCCCATGATGGAAAAATTGGGTGTTTCCCATGGCGCTATGTTTGGAACTGTACCAGGTATCAGGGTAGAGAGATCCTATACGACTTTCTCGGCGAGGTCGTGGAGTCTTGTGGCAACAGGGCCTAATGCCTTCCCAATGCCATTGGGGTGGCTCGGGGTATCGAGCCACCTTAGCGGCATAGGTACAGAGCTAGTTGGCCGGTCTTCTGAGTCGGAGGGGAAGGTACTCCTGACTCCACCTCAAGACGCTCGATCCGGTGCACTCAGGGCTCCAAGACACACACTTAAGTCACGCAATTCTGCACACTATCCAAATCCTTTCAAAGTTGAGTTTGATGCCGATCCATACACGATTGACCCATAATCTACTTGTAGGACCTAACCAGGGACTTTATATATCATTAGTAAAGACTTTTCTATCAGCTCCCCATTTATTACCAGCAATGCCTTTAATAAATTTTAGTGCTTTTTGACTATTTATTCTTTTAACTGACCAATGTGGTCTTTCAATTAGTCCTACTTCAAAGAGTAAGACCAAGAATCTAGCAGATATTTTGAATTGGTATTGGGTGGTTATCTAAAGTTAATCCTAATGTTTGGTATTTTTCTATGTAAAAAATTAACCCCATACTCTGTCTAATGGAAAACTTAAAAAACCCCACTGGAGGCCCCAGTTATGATCATATCCAGTGTTAGTTGGATGCGATTTGCCGAGGACTGGTGCATTATTGCTGAATGCCACAATGCACATCATCGGCGTACAGTGAGTATTTAAGATTCCGAGGGGAGCGGTAGATGTCTTATCATACATAGAAATAATGTTGGCGACAAGACACTTTCCTGTGGGACCACCCGTTTGCCTGGACAAAAATGTCCGAAAAAGTGACTTGTCCAGAAATATTGACAGCAAACCGTTCTGTCAGAAATGAAATTTTGAATAAAACAAGGCAAGTTTCCACGTAATCCAAAAGCATAAAGTTTTCCTGAGTAGCCGTATCGGCCATGTCATGTCGTAGGCTTGTCTATATCTAACAATACTGAATCACCAAGTCTTTTTTGGCATGGCCTCTTGTATAGACTGTCCAGTTTTACTAGTTGTATCGAGAGTTTGACGTCCTTTTCGGAAGCCGCACTGCTCGTCAACTAGCAAATGAATGGAATTTAAAAAATTCCAATAGCCTACTATTGACAATTCGTTCATACCTTGCATAAGCAACTTGTCACGCAATTGGGCGGTAGGAGCTGGAAGTTTGGGATTACCCCCTCCTTTCATATGGGAATGATGTGGGCGAAGTGCCATGAGGTTTTGGAAAAAGTGTTGGCTTTCCAAATTTTCATTGTACACTTCTAGCAACTTAATCATGTCATCATTATTAAGATGCTTTCATCATCTCATATCGAATCTCATCGGGGCCTGGGATGTTTCCTCTCAGGCTTCTAGGGCTCGGACACGCTCATTCATTGTAGATCTTTATTATAATCAAGGTCATCTCCTGTGGCAAAGTGAATTGTTGCAGCTCAGCGGCTTCCTTGTGGTCAGGAAAGCAGGATGGTAAATTTGCTTGAGCTGCTTGTGTAAGAGAACTGCCTGGCGAGTAACATTAGCAATGTCTTTAGAGAGTCGAAATTGGTTCCCTCCGTGATTGATGTTTTTAATTTGCAAGATGTTTTGTTCTTATTGATTTTATAACCGTGGACCAACCTCTGATATTTTTTGTATTGGCTATTTATTTTAGAACAAAGCTACGCCAGGAGTCTCTTTTAGCGTTGTCTAATTACTCTACGAGCCACTAGCTCTTGCTTTTTTGTAATTGCAAAAGTTCTCGTTTGTGATGTTTATTTTTGAAAAGCCTGTAGGCCTTATTGCGTCGGCACAGCGCCCTGTCGGCAATCTGGTGTCCACCATGGAACTCTATGCTTAACGCTATCTGTCGAAGTTTTAGGAATGGATAGCAAAGCTGCTTTTCTATAATCGAATTCTGAATATTGCTTCTTTATCATCATGGTCCTCTCCAACTAGTTCGAGCTTGACGCTCTTGTGAAGCGACCCAGTCCTGCTCTTTTTACTTAAATTTAGAGGGCGCTGAAGGCGTTCTCACACTGTGTCGCTGAATATTTAATCAAAATAGGAGGTGATCGCTTCCAACGAGTCCGTCATGTGTGTGCCACAGCACTTAGCTGCTACTGATGAAGAGACAGGATAGGTCCAATAACGCTTCACAATTTTCCGGTATTATCGTCCCACCGCCGCGTGGGATACCATCGTTCAGAAGGGCTAAATCAGACTCATTAATCAGCTTAACTACTTGCTCACCCCTACCATCCACCCCAGGGAACCCCAATAACGTATGATGAGCATTAAAATCACCCTAAAATTACTTTATTTTGTGGCAAGACGTTCCTGAAGAGCAAAGAGCTCATCATCGATTATCACTGTATCAGGTGGACAAAAAACTGAACATATAGCCATATGCGTGCCCTTAATTTTTACTTTGCATGCGACAAACTCAACGTAGAATAAAGTCACTTTGTAAAAGGGAGGTTTTGGTGATGTACATGGCGACTCCGCCTCCACCCCTACCCTCAACGGATCCCCCTTCCACATAGATGGTAGTTCCTCAGCGAACAACCTCGTCAGAGACAATTCTGTTAAATGTGTTTTCTTTGGAGAACTATAATATCGGGAGCATAGGACGAGGCTATAATTTAAGGTCATTTACTTAGATCTAATACTTTGACGTTTCCATTGTATAATTGTCGACGCGGAAGATTAACGTTTATGGGTTTGGAAGTGCCTTGTCCACCAGTTTTTTATTTTCTTTTTCTGGGAGGGAAGTTCTTCCTCCTCTCCCTCGCTAACCCAGGGTGCTCCCATGGGTATTTTTTTTTTTTTTTTTGAGACAGTAGCCTCCCTGTCTGCGTCTCGCTGTCAGGGAGACCCTGTGGAAGATGAATCTGTTCCGAGAAACAGACCAAACACCAGGCGAAGTCCAGCAGGAGCCGCCTGGACGAGAAGGGTTCGAATCCAGATTGTGGTTTTGGTATCATCCCCTTAGATGCGGCTGCTTTTGCTGGGTTGATTCAGAAATTTGTTGAATTGTATTTTTCAATTCTTTATTTGACTCATTAAAAATCCTGAACGCGTTTTCCTTTAACTCGGCAATTTCTTTATCTTAGCTGCAAGTTCCTGACTGATACTGCCTGCACTGGGACCGTTTTTAGTTGCTAACTGAAGCGTAGGAAGTATTGGTTTGCTGGTCAACCTTCAACTTTCCTCTTGGTTCACGGTAACTAACATCATGCCCTCTCATGTATGCTAATATTTCAGTCTCCTTCTTCAAGCTGCTGCACTCGGAGAGCCAGATTGATGGGGACCTCCACAAGTTAGGCAACACTTGAAGAGTTTTCTCAGTACATACAGCAGTGTCATGGATCTCCAGCAGATTTACCCAAGTAAATTTACTAGTATCCCTTATCATTGCATCGTAATGAGGTTGTTCCAAATTTTTTTTGGCATCTATTACAGCGCATAGTTTTTTGAATGTAAGTTCGCACTTGGACAACTTTTCATATCCAACTGTGGACATACTCCGGACTTTTACTTGAAAGCAAAAGTCCAAAAGCACAAGTCCGGTTTTTGTTCGCACATTCCCGTCTTTCTTGGTCCATGCAGTTCACCATCCACTACTCTTTGGTCTTTCATATTTTCAATTCACTCTCCTCCATTGTTTCTCAATCCCTGTCTAAAGATTACTCCCTTGCAGGTTTGGGTCCAATGGGGATAGTTTTTACGTTAACCTTCAATCATGAATCTGCGTCAAAGTTTTAAGCAATCCCTTAACCTGGGAGTTGAATTGCACTTTTACAAGGAGCTACCATCATCGCAATTTCCTGACGAAAATCAAAATTCGCCGTCCACTTGACATCAAGGACCTTCTTGATGATGAAGGGGCTCACTCTCAAAAGCGACTGATTTCCATTCACGCTTTTGACAGTCAAATACCTTGCATCTCTGGAGGATTAGAAAAGA